ATAACCATAAGCCATCTTTAAGTGGAAGCAAGAGGCAGAAGAGAGCCAGAGAGATGGCCTTGTGAATGGCGCTGGGCACAGCCTACCCGGCTTTCAGATATAGGACTGAAGGGTGGACACTTATGGTTAAGACACCTGTTGGGAAGTCCTTGTCCCATAGGAGAGCCCCTGGGCTCAAGTCTCAGCTGTGCTGTGTCCTCCCACTTCCAGCTACCTGCTAGTGCACACCGGCAGGCAGCAGGGATGGCTCAAGAAGTTGGGTCCCTGCCACCCACGTAGATCTGGATGGATTTCCTGGCTCCCAGACATTTGGAGTGTGAACCATCAGGTGGGCACTCTGTCTGTCTCCACATCTCTCTCCCTCTCAAAGTAAAAAATAATAATAATAAATAAAAATGCAGGGGTTACAAATATAGGAATGAGAGGTGGGTGTTTAGCACAGAGGCTAAGACCTCGCTTGGATGCCCATATTCCACATCGGAGTGCACGGGCCCGAGTCCTGGTTCTGCTTCCAACACCAGCTTCCTCCTAACGCACACGCTGAGAGACAGCAGGTGAAGTGCTTGGTTCCCCGCCACTCATGTGGGGGACCCAGAGTGAACCGGTCGATGGAAGATCTCTCTCTGTCTGCATTTCAAATAAGAAATACATTAATTATTATTGTTGTTATTATTAATAGTAGTAGTATAGGAATGGGACCCCAAGCCAGAGAGTGCAGGCAAACCCTAAAGACTGGAAAAGGCAGGGAAACAGAATATTCCCAGGGCCTCCTGCAGGCACTCAGCCCTGCTGGCAACTCAGTCATAGCCCAGTGACGCCTACTGCAGATTGTGAGCTCCAAAAGTGTACGATAACAAATCTGTGCCGTCTGCACCACTAGGTTTGGGATAATCCATTAGAGCAACAAGAGGGAATTAATACATCCACCAAAAAAAGCACAACCAAGCAAAAAGACCAAAAATAAGCGTGCACAACAAAATGAAGACAAGTGGCACGGGCATGCGCTTCCATCCCATGTTGGAGAGCCAGCTGGAGCCCTGGCTACCAACCTTCTGATCCAGCTCCCTGCTCATGAGCCTGGGAAGCAGCAGAGGATGCGCCCCTGCTCCCACGTGGGAGACCCAGATGGAGTTCCTGGATCCTAACTTTGACCTGGCCCAGCCCTGACTGTTGCAGCCATCTGGGGAGTGAACCAGCAGATGGAAGACTGAACCAGTGGAAAGATCTCCTCTCCTCCTCTCCTCTCCTCTCCTCTCCTCTCCTCTCCTCTCCTCACCTCTCCTCTCCTCTCCTCTCCTCTCCTCTCTCTCATTCAAATCTTTTTATTTTTTAATGATTTATTTATTTATTTGAAAGGCAGAGTTACAGAGAGGCAGAGAGAGAGGGAGGTCTTCCATCTGCTGGTTCACTCCCCAAATGGTCACAAAGGCTAGAGCTGTGCTGATCCGAAGCCAGGAGCCAGGAGCCAGGAGTTTCTTCCAGGTCTCCCACACGGGTGCAGGGGCCCAAGGACTTGGGCCACCCTCCACTGCTTTCCCAGGCCATAGCAGAGAGCTGGATCAGAAATGGAGCAGCCAGGACTCAAACTGGCGCCCATATAGGATGTCAGCACTGCAGGTGGCGGCTTCACCTGCTATACCATAGTGCCGGCCCCTCAAACAAATCTTTTTAAAACATAAAAAGAAGTGGTAACTGGTTAATGGGATTTTTTGTTTATTTAAAAATTTTCCAGTACCATTTTTGTACCTCTTTTAGTTATGTTTTAGTTTTGGTGTTTTTGTTTTATTTTGTTTTGCTTTTTGCTGCCACAAACCACACCAAACACTGGAGTTAGAGGAAAGGCTGTCAGGTGAAGGAAGCGCAGTGGGCAGGGGGGAGAGAGCGAGAGAGTAAGAGAGAGAGAAAGAGAGAGAGCATGGCCATCCTTTACAAGAAGAAAATCTAAGCTTTTATTTTCCCTGGAGGAGATCCTGCCCATCTTTCTTCATTTTTTTTTATATTTTATGTATTTATTTATTTTATTTATTTGAAAGGCAGAAGACAGAGATCTCCTATCTGCTGGATCACTCTCAAATGCCCACAGCAGTCAGGGCTGGGCCAAGCCAAACCCAGGAGCCAGGAACTCCATCCAAGTCTCCCTGTGGGTGGCAGGGACCCAAGTACTTGAGACATTGCTTGTGGCCTCTCAGGGTAACAGTAGCAGGAAGCTGGAATCGGAGTGTAGTCAGGACTGAACTCAGCCCGCTGATGTGGGATGCAGGCGTCCCAACCGGCAGCTTAACCACTCTCCGTGCTTCAAGGCGCAGATAAAACAGCACCTCCACCAGGAAGCTGCCAGGGCTCTGCTCCCATGGCCCTAGTGTTGCAGATGGATTCCAAGAGCCTGAAGGAGCAGGGTCTATGTCAGACTCTCCCCAGGGACCAGCAGGTCCCAAAGTGTACGTGTGAAAGACCATGAACTGGGCTGGGGAACCGTCAGCCCTGGTTCCCCACTGAAGGAACGCAGGCTGCATTGCATCCCCCCTCCCCACAATGGGCTTCTCCAGGGTCAGCAGAGGGCAGGCAGACGGGGAACACAGCCTCTCGGGGCCAGGTGGGCGGGTCTCCTGCGGCACCACTTCGAGACACTTCACATCAGAGCTGTTGGGAGCTCCTTTGTTTTGTTGTTGTTTGCTTGTTTGTTTGTTTTTAAGATTTACTTTATTTATTTAAAAGGCAGAGTTACAGAGAGGCAGAGGCAGAGAGAGATCTTCCATCCTCTGGTTCACTCCCCAAAAGGCCGCAACAGCCTGAGCTGTGCCGATCCAAAGCCAGGAGCCAGGAGCTTCTTCCAGTCCCCGAAGTGGGTGCAGGGGTCCAAGCACTTGGGCCATCTTCTACTGCTTTCCCAGGCCATTAGCAGAGAGCTGGATCAGAAGTGGAGCAGCCAGGACTTGAACCGGCACCCATATGGGATGCCAGCGCTGCAGGTGGCGGCTTTACCCACTACACCACAATGCTGGCCCTGCTCCTTTGGTTTTGTCTCCTCTCTAGCATGTTATGGAATGGGGATGGGGTGTACCAAAGTAAGCTGGGTAACAAGGCTGAGACCCGAGCTTCCACAGGCCTTTGGGGCTTTGGTGCCATGGTGGGAGGAGTCGTGTGGTTTCTGGGATGCAGGCGTGGGCTGTGCTAAATTAGCAGGACGACCCGGCAGGGAGGGGCAGCCAGGCCTTCCATCTCCCAGAATCCCCTTCCCAATGCAATGCTGAACACGAGCTCTCCCTCTCACCCGACAGGGCATGGCCCCCATCTCCTGTAGCCCACGGCCAAGCTCTTTGATCAGCCCAACCCAGACCTGCTCAGCATCCCAGCCGCTTCTCCTGCCCCCCACCCCCTGACCTGCCTGGCATCAGGCCGTCTGGGTCTCACACCTCGCCACCATTCCATGCTCGCCAAGTCAGCCCAGGCCAGGCCTCTCCCAAAAGCCCCTGGCCACCCCGGGAGGCTGGGTTCTCCTCGGCGCTGCTGATGCCCTTGTCTCCGTGGTCCCGTGAGCCCCACCATGCCCACGGTCATTCTGCAGGCCTCACGGCCTTACTGGCAAGAAGCCCCCACCCAGGGCATCGGCTGGGCCCCCCACAGCTCCTGGGTTCTCCTCTCCAAAGAAACACTAGCTGGGGGATCCCTAGAGCCCCGTGCAGAGAGTGGCAGAGGCGGGGAGCGCAGGGGCTTAGCTGTTTCTGGCCCAGCAGAGAGACCTCAGAGCATGGAATCCTTGCAGGCAGGGCTGCCTTCCTTCCAGAAACCAGAGGCAGAGGAAGCCCTTACTCCAAGATACAGCCTTAGAGGGAGGCGGCAGAGCTCGGGGGCCCAGAGCCACGGGCACCGCTCCCACAGGGGCCTCCCTCGCACCCAGCCCCACAGCAGCCAGATCCTTTCTGGGAAAGGGGCATGGTATTGCCTTCTTGGTCAGAAATGATCCAACCCCCTCCCCTGTGGCTGTCCTGACCCCCTACCCCCCACTGACTCCTCCCCCTTTCTGTAGCCAGCCGCCCCCTGGGCAGCTCTTCAGGGAAAACCATCACCATCGCTGCCAGGACCCCACGTGGCCTGGATCAAAATTCTCTCTGACCACTCCTGCACCCCGTTTCCCTCCAGCTGCCCCCGCCCCGGGCGGCATTCCAGTCTCTCTCTCACACATGCACACACACACACGCATGCACACTCACTCTCACACACTCAGTCCCCAGGCGCCCTGCTGGCTTTCCATGCGGACTTCCAGGAGCTGAGGTACCTGCGCACATTACAAACAACACTGGCCTCACTCACACCCGAGGGTCCCTGGAGCCTCGCGCTTGGTTCCCCTCCCAGAGCCCCCTCTGCCTGCACGTGTGACTCAGCCCCCAGCCGTGGACTCCCTGACCCAGGCGCTGTTCCAGGAGTATCCGTTCCAATCTCGGGCAGATAGTCTATCAGCCACATCTCTCAGGCAGATCTAATCTGTCCTTGTCACTAACCCTTGCCTGGCCCGGGATTACAGGGGCAGGGCAGAAAGGCCTGGAGGCAGATGAGAAAAGGCGGCAGAGATCACCCAGCCGGCTGCCCCCTTTCCCACGGGGCAGGGGTGGGGGAGGGGGTAAGCGGCCCAGAGAAGGGCAGATGCTTGCTCCAGGCCTCCAGGAAAGCAGGTAGAGCCAGGCTAGATCTCTGGTCTCCCAGCTCCCGGGGAGGGCAGGCAGGCAACAGGCAGGCGAGGGCTCAGTCCGACACCTCCGCCTCCTTCTAGGGCGCTCAAAGGTCATTCTGGGGGGTGGCCAGATTTTCTGCTTGACCTGTTAAGATCCTGGGAGGCGGGGGAGGGCAGGGGGGAGGAGGAGCTTCAGGAGGAGGGGATTTAGGAGAAGGGGCATTCGGGTTGCAGGCGCTGCATCCCCCACCCCATCCCAGCTGCAGCCAGCCACAGGGGCTCTGGGCTGCGAGGAGCTGAGACCGTCCTGAGAGGGCATCATGGCTTGCAGGAAGCAGTGCTCGGACAGCTCGACCAAGTGGGCGCTCGTCGGCGGCGGCAGCGTGGCTCTGGTGTTGACCATCGGGATGGCCCTGGGCTTGACGCTGTCACGCGGCACCCAGCCAGGTAAGACCCGCCCCTGTGCCATCCTCACTGGCTCCCCCTTCCTCCGTTCCTCACCCCCACTGAGGCTCTGGCCCCACTGACAGCTCCGACCGGCTCTCCTGTCTCCCGACAAGGCCCTGCTTGCCTCCTCTGTCCCCAGTCACGCCAGGCTTCACCCCAGCACATGACCACGCTGGCTGTGTCTCTTCCGGTCAGCTGCTGCCATCTCCAAAGCTCAGCCTGCAGCCCAGACCTCCTCCCGGTGCCGTCTTGGGGATCGTGGGGACTCTTCAACCTCGGCAGGCTGTGCTGAACCCGCCCCCTTCTCCCACACCTGCTCCTCCCTGCACCTTCTCTGGGTGAACCTGGGAAGCTGCACTCTCACGGGAACCTGGGAGTCACCTCCACTCCTCCCTCTGCCTCGTGTTCTTCAGTCCCGAGCCTCCTCCCCATGGCTCTGCCCTCTGAGGCCCATGTCCCCTCTGGGGCCCCGCGTGGCTGTTCCCCACCCCCCCCACCCCCACACACAGTCCCTCTGCCACCAGCCCACTCTCTCTGCAGCCAGCAAGAGCTCTCACAACACGAATCCCACTCGCTGCCCCAGCACATGCTGCCCAGCTCCTGTGCTGGTGTTCACGGCCATTTACAACCTGGTCCCAGCCCTCCTTCCAGTCCTGCCTACCCCATTTCTCTCTGTTCCATCTCTATCCGACAGTGGCCGTGCTTTCGGGCAGACCGCCCTCGCTTATGCTGTTCCCGGTCTGAAGCACTCTGTTCCCTCTTCTCTGTCGGATCCACCCCCATCCTTCAAGGTCCCCTTAAATGTTCCTTCTCTAAAGTGCCCCAGGGGCCCACACAGTCCCCTGTCTCGAAGCACTGGGCCTGGGTCTCGCTGTCTCTCTGCCAGATCAGGTATTGGACACACGGCGGGAGCCCAGGGTGTCGTGGGCAGGGGCAAGGACTCCCTCGAACGGCTTGTCCTTCCTTGCAGGCTGTGAGCATGATGAGGCCTGCCGCCCTGATGCGGACATGCTGGACTACCTGCTAAGCCTGGGCCAGATCAGCCGCAAGGACGGCCTGCTTGTCACCTGGTACCACGCGGCCAACAGCCAGGAAGAGATGGGAGCTGCCCTGAAGAGTGAGTGCAGCCGCGGGGACTGGGGACTGGGGCAGGCTGGGGCTGGGGCGGTGACAGGGAAGAAGGGAGCGCAAGGCCAGGGTGAGACCCTAGGGTCACAGTAGCAGTGTGATGGCCACTGCCCAGAACCCCCATCCTCTGTGGGAGGAAATGGGGGCTCAGAGGCTACACGATGGCCTCAAGGTTGGACCAATATCGGATGCCAAAGTCAGCTCCGTGCCTGCCCTTCCTGGGCCAATCGGGACCAACATCCCTGATAACGCAGCCTTTGTCCCCCAAAGCCTAAGAAAGCCGGGATATTAACCCGAGGCCCAGCCTCTGGAGCAGTTCCTGTTAAGTCCTCTGGGTGCAACTCAGAGGCAGCAGGCAGGCAGGGCTCGCCGCGTGGGACACGCGTGTTCCATGCAGGTTCTCCTGGGGCATCCTGTAGCCTGTTACAGAAGGAACATGGGTCGGAGAAGGTAGGTGGATGGCTCGAGTCGCCATGCTCTGAAAGTGGGCGAGCCAGCTCAGGGCCCTGGGCCCCCTGCGCCCTGCAGGGAGCTGCCCTCCCTCCTAGACTGGTGGGATGCTCCACACCAGAGTGCTGGGAGACCCTGACGCAGCAGCTATGAAAGCTGCAGGGTTTGCAGGGAAGGCCTGCAACTTGAGGGAGCTTCCGAGTCAGGGATCCTGGAGGAGGCCCAAGAATCTGCATTTCTAGTAAGTGTCCAGGGGATGCTGATGCAGCTGGTCCCGGAACCCACAGTGTAAACCATTGCTCAGTCAAGAAGAAGAAGCCAGAATCCAGTGTGGGGGAGGGTCTTCTTGTCCAAGGTGATGCAGGATGCCCGAACAGAGCACATCCTGGGGACCAGTCCTGCATGCTTGCTGAATGAATGGGTGGCTAGGGAGGGCTTCCTGGAGGAAGCAGGCTTGGGAGTCAGCAAGGGAGGAGCCATTGAGTGTGCAGCCGCTTCGGGATTTCCTCCATTTGGGAGGCTGAATGTTGGCCCTTGATGATCAGGAGGACAGAGCCCTCTCCCCTGCAAGGGAAAGCAGGCAGGCGAGGAGGACTCTTATCTGGGAGAAAGTGCTGGAGAGAGTGCAAGGACCAGCCGCACCCAGCTCAGCCCGGGGTAGTGGGGGAGCAAGCAGAGCTCCATTGAGCTCAACCCAGCAGTGGCCAACAGCAGTGACCATGGAGAGCACCAGTGGCTTAGCTCCAGGGGTCCAGAGGACCAAGGCCCAGTTTTCTCCCCGAGGGTTCTGCCAGGTCCCAGGGGCAGGCCTCTGGGAAGAGTGTTGTGCTGGACTGAGGTGGGGACCCTGAGGGGGGTGATGGCAGAGTTCAGCTGACAGAGCCAGCGTGGAAGAGGAGGGGCCCGGCACAGGCCTGGGAGGCAGCAGGGAGACCGGGGAGCAGTGGCTTCACCAGGCTGCAGTTCGAGCTCCCCCACACAGAACATGGGCTGGCAGGGACCCTGTTGTCTGTCATCCGAACCAGAGCACCTCCGATGGTGACAGAGGTCATTAGCAGCCATTACGCTGTGACAGCAGAAATACCCCAGATTGTCCAGGTCACTCCCTGTTGACAATCATTAACACCTGCTCAAGAAGAAACAGAAGCCGGAGGGCCACGTGTGAGGGCTGGGGCGGGAGGCCGCAGCGCGGGCTCCAGGGCTCCTCGCTCAGCCTCCGTGCTCCCCTGCCTCTCTCCCCGGGGATGGAGCACAAGGGCCTCAGGGCCTGCACAGCCGCTTCCCACTGGACACCAGCATTCCTTCCCTCCCGCCTGGGCCCCAGGGCCAGGGCTCCCACTGCAGCCGTAGGAGCCCCACCCTGTCACTGGCTCTAGTTCCTTCTCCACTGCCCCACCCCAGCAAGTCAGCCCCTGGAGTCAGCTGTTTATGTGTTAGAAAGGCAGAGATAGAGAGAAAGGGAACTTCTATCCGCTGGTTCACTCCTCAGATGGCTGCAGCCAGGGCTGGGCCAGGCCAAAGCCAGGAACTTCATCCAGGTCTCCCACTTTGGGGCAGGAGCCCAAGCACTTGGACCATCTTCTGCTGCTTTCCCAGGCAAATTAGCAGGGAGCTGGATGGGAAGTGGAGCATCCAGGACAAGAACTTGTGCCCACATAGGATGCCGGCGCTGCAGGCTGCGGCTTTACCTGCTGTGCCACAACGCCCACCCTGCAAGGAACAGCTTTAAAGTCAACAGCAGAGGCTTCTCCTGGAAGAAGCTGGGTCCGGGTGGCAGAGCCACTCTCAAATGCAGCTTCCTTCTGTCCTCCTGGAGCTTTGGCTGGGCCCCTGCTCTATGTCAAGCACAGGAGGAATTTTCTGGAAAGAGTAAGGCACGACTGTGTCCATAGAGCTCACAGTGTGGGGAGGCAGCAGCTTTGGAGGGTCACTGGGACCCAGAAACCTGATGCCCCTGCTCCCCCCAACATACCCTCTCCTCCCCCAGACCAGAACTGATCCAATCTCTTTAAAATATATATATTTAAATTTATTTTATATATATATATATATTTGAAAGGCAGAGTTAATAGAGAAAGGGAGAGACAGAGAGGTCTTCCATCCACTGGTTCACTCCCTAAATGGCCATAATGGCCAGAGTTGTGTCAGTCCAAAACCAGGACCTAGGAGCTTCTTCCAGGTCTCCCGTGTGGGTGCAGGGGCCCAAGCACTTGAGCCATCTTTTGCTTTCTCAGGCCACAGCAGAGAGCTGGATGGGAAGTGGAGCAACTGGGATTTGAACCAGCGTCCATATGGGACGCTGGCCCTGCAGGCAGCAAATTTACCCTCTGTGCCCCCACACCGGCAATCGATTTTTAAGCACCTGAAAGGCCTGGTTCCATCAGGGCCCCGGGAGAGTCCAGGGAGGATCTTTTCAGACTGGAACCTGCTCTCCCAGAGCTTGTGCTGGGCAAGCACCCAAAGGAGATGCTGGGGCGCCCCCTGGAGGAAGTGCTGTTTCAGCCCACACTGAAGGAGGAGCAGGAGGCGGCCTGGCGAGGCTGAGGGAAGAGGGCTGCAAGGCAACAGCCACAGGGAGGGGCCTGGAGACTTAGAGCGCGGCTCCTCCACGTGTGGTCCAGGGACGGGAAGCGCCGGCATTGGAGGCAGAATCTCAGTCCCCGCCCCACACCTCCCCGTCAGACCGGGTTCCAAGGGCTCCTGGGATCCATGCACTCATTAACCCGGGGATGCTGGAGTGGCTGGAACCCAGGGAGCGCGGGACAGAGGGACCCGAGATGAGACTGGAGAACCTGGCAGGGCCAGACCGCGCATGAGGAGCTGGGAGTCCGACTCTCAGGGCAGGGGCGGGTTTTCAGAGTCGTGCTGTTTGGAACAGGAAGTGGCATGATGGGCACACGATTAGGGCATTCCTCTAGTGCCTCTGTGGAGAAGGGACAGTGCTAGAGGGAACAGCCAGGAGGCTGCAGCAAACCCAGAGAAAGGCTCCTGCTGACGCCGCCTGACTGATGCTCATTCTGAGCCAAATCTCCCTCTCCCTCCCTCCGCCCAGGACACTGCCCCAGCCCCAGCGCCCCTTGCCTGGTGCCCCGGACCCCCTCCTGTGGCAGATCTGAGATCCCTTCTGGCCTGAACTTCTGAGGGCAAGCATCAGATGACACATCCACCTGGTGGGGCCAACTACATGACATTAAAAGATTTTAAAAAAATGCTTGCTGTTGGTGATGATGCATTGAGCTGGGTGACTCTACTTACTTCAGGCAGGAGCATGAATCAACAATTTTCTGGAAAGTAATTTTATACTTGGACTTTAAAAATAATCCTGTGTTGCCCTGACTCATTCCACAAGGAAGAACCAGAAATAATCAGAAAATCAAGATAAAATATGCATCATTATTTATTACCAGCAGAAGACTAAAATTATTAAAATGTCTCAGGATAGGGAATGGTGCACTAACCACATTGTGTGTGCACCTTGACCAGAGCATTTGAGGCTATTTTTTAAGTGAGTTGTATAAAAAATGTCACAAAGTTGAAGAAAAATGTTAAAAATTGCAAATACAGTGGGTTCTCAACTGTGCAAAATCTGTGAATAGATGAAAATACATCAAAACATGAACTATAACAGAAATGTGAGTGAAGGGGCTGGCATTGTGGCCCAGGAGGTTAAGCCACATCACATCAGAGTGCCGGTTTGAGTCCTTCCAATCCAGCTTCCTGCTAATGTGCCTGAGAAAGCAGCAGGTTAATAGCCCAAGTACTTGGGTCCCTACCACCCACATGGGAGAACTAGATGGAGTTCCTGGCTCCTCCAGGCTTCAGCCTGTCCCTGGTTTGGCTGTTGTGGGCATTTCGGGAGTGAACCAGTGGATAGAAGCGCACTCTCTCTCTCTCTTGCTCTCATTCTCACTCTCGCTCTCACTCTCGCTGTGTGTGTGTATATGTGAAAAGAAATGCGAGTGAATATCCCCCCTCTCCCAGCTTCTCTGTATTTTTCAAATGTTTTCTAACATGTGAACTTTTATGACATGGAAGACTGTTTAAAAAGAAAAGGATCTTGGCAAGTTTTGCCTCTCCCACAGGCGACGCCATGGTCTTGGAGGCTGACGTCACTGTGGAAGGACTCAACACAGCCAACGAGACAGGAGTCCCGGTCATGGCCCACCCCCCGGCCATCTACAGCGACAACACCCTGCAGCAGTGGCTGGAAGCTGTGCTGGCCTCTTCCCAGAAGGGTAAGGGCCCCTGGGGCTGCCTCCCCAGCCCCCCAGCCTCTGGCCCTCTGGCAGGGATCCTACCCCTGGGAGGCAGTCCAGGCTCCAGCACCAACATTGTGGATGGCCAGGCTCCGGGAGGGACTGTGATGTGGGAGACATGAGTGCATGGGGGAGGCAGGGATGTGGAAGTGCCGAGTAATCTACAGTGTGTGACAACTGTTCCACTGTGCCCTCCTGAGTCTGCAGAACTGGATACAACAGGTTCAAAGTCAAACTCCATCCTCCACCTGCCTGTGCCTTTGCCAGGTGGTCAGATCCCAGGCGTCATCTGTATACTCCCCCTCCCTCCTCAGTCAGTGCATCAGTGCACCTGCTGACCCTAACCCCTGAGCTACCCTCATGCCATGCCACAGTCTCTTCCAGACCTGCAAGCCGGCGCCTCTCATCTTCCCCGGTCACCACCGCAACCACACAAGCCTCCCAGGGATCCTTCCCAGAGGCCCGGGCTCCCAGGCCCCTCCCCTGCTCCCACCTTCCATGGCTCTGTTGTCCTCAGGACCAGCTCAGTCACCAGCCGCCTCTGACTTCCCAGCCTCCTATAGGACGGCTCTTCACTCTCAGCGGGGCTTTCCTCTGCCTCCATCGCTCCCTCTTCTCACATGCCCCTTCGTGGAGGCTGAGTGGCACTGCCCACAGACTGGTGGCGCAGGACCCTCTGAGGCTGCCCTGGCCTGGAAATTACAGCTGGATCCCTGCTTCCCCCAGCCCCAGGTCCCGAGCCCTTAGCTCACCTGCTGGGGCCCTGCAGGGGAAGGGAAGTCAGGGTTCCAGGGGCAGGCTCCTCTCTGGTTGGCGCTGCCTGCTCACGCCTTCCCCCGGCCCCCACCAACCATGCCCCTACCTGCTCTCTGTGCCCAAGGAGCCCCATCTTCCCCGGTCCCTTGCCAGCTCCCCAGGCCTTGTCCCCTTCCCCACAGGCATCAAACTGGACTTCAAGAGCATCAAGGCTGTGGGCCCCTCCCTGGACCTCCTGCGGCAGCTGACGGAGGAGGGCAGAGTCCGGAGGCCCGTGTGGATCAATGCTGACATCCTAAGGGGCCCCAACGTGCCCCTGCCCATCGAAGTCAATGCCAGCCAGTGAGTGTCCGCCAGTCTGCCCAGCTGTGCAGCCCTCCCTGTCATCGTCTAGACAGGAAAGGGACCTTAGGGCTTTCCAGCCTCAGCGCATGCTCTCACCCCTGAGCCCAAGCTCTTCGCCCGGCTACGGATGCCTCTCCCGCCTTTCCTGATGAACTTTTGCCGACCACTTCCTCCTGGAAACTTCCCGACATCCCACCCTGCCGAGGTGCCTCCTCTGGTCCCTTGGCCCCCACACTTCTTCCGGCAGCCCCGATTTTCTCGGCTGTCACCGTAGGTTTGTGGGTTTGTCAACCCCGCTACACTGTGGACTCCTGGAGGGCCAAGTCCCCTTTGTAGCCCCAGGCATGAGCACAAGACCTGGGCTGCGGGAAAACCCCAAAACACGGTCTCCTCCCCAACACCGCCACTAAGAGCCCTGTCGCACGCGGGCAGCACGGTGCTCTACAGGTGCAAAGAAAGGAGACAGCATATCTGATCTGGTCCCTACAGAGCACTGTCAGGCAGCGATATATTTTTCTGCCCACTTTGCAGATGAGAAAGCTGGAGATGGAGGCAAATCTGCTGACTGCTTAGTGTGTCCCAGGCACAGTCTTAAGCACTGTCCATGCACGATGCCGTTTAACTCACAGTGACAATGAGGCCGGTGCCCATATTTCATTTTATTTATTGAGACAGGAACTGTCTTACAGAAGCTAAATGACCTAAGTGTGGTCAATGGCAGAGCAAAGACTGAAATCCAGGCTCCTTACCATGCACGCCTCCCTCCACCCACCTGTCCGCCAGCCGGCCAACGATCCGCCCATCACCCAGCGCTGTGCTGCTTCTCCAACCGAGATGCAATTGGAAAGTGGCAGTGGGAGCCATGTGGTCAGTGGTCAGTGGTCAGTGGTCAGTGGCCAGAGCCAGATGCGCTGCCTTCTCGGGGGATTTGGTTTTAACAGGGGGCATCCTTTTAACATCAGAGCAAAATTCAAATAAAACTGTGGAGGAAGAGGTGGCTGAGATGCCCACACTCAGTCTCCCGCCCTGCTCTGGGGGCACAGAGGCTGTCTTTGAGAACCACAGAGACTGAGTGGCCTGCCCCAGGCACAGAGTTAGGAGCTGAACCCGGCCCTCTCTGGCTCCCAAGCCCTCCTATTTTGGGGGACCTTGAACGGCCACTTCTGCACTCTAGGACTCTGCTTCTGTCCTCATGTCATAGCTTCAACAGCCCCGCCCCTTCCTGGCACTGAGACAAGACCCCGAGAGGAGGAAAGGGGCCAGTGTGGCTCTGAAAGACCAGCATCTCTGTCTCTCTCTCTGCAGGTTCCTGGCCCTGGTCCAGGAGAAGTATCCCGAGGCCACCCTGTCTCCAGGCTGGACCACCCTCTACCTGCCCCTCTTCCCCAACAGCACGTACACCCGTGCCATGGTGGAGGAGATGCAGGGGCTGGTGGGAGCACTGCCACAGAGGGTCACCTTCCCCGTGCGGGCTGTCATGCTGCGGGCTGCCTGGCCCAACTTCAGCTGGCTGCTGGGGCAGTCGGACAGGTAAAAACGCCCAGGATCCCGGCTCGGCCCTGCTGGCTCCACACCCACGCCCAGGCACTGATGCGCCCAGACCAGATCGCCTTGTCCAACCCCACTGGTGCTCACTCTTTCTGCTTGTATGCCTCTGGTGATGGGCTGCTCACTACCTCTCAAAATTATTCATTCTGAGATACAATTTGTCTCCCCATAGCTTCCTCCCCAAGACAGCCAGCCGTGCCCCTGGGGCTGCATAGATTGTGCCTGCAGCCTTTGCCCCCGGACAGCCTCTGGGGATTCAGGGGTCCCCTAAACACCCCCACGACAGCTCCCAGCTGCCCAGCCCTACCTCCCTCAGCCACTCCCCACACGAGTCCCCGTGCTGTCCCCTTCCTCACCTCCTGCAGAGCCCTCCCTTCTCCGTTCCTGTGCCTTGTCCTGTTCCTTTCCCAACACAGGACCCAAAGCCACTCGGAAGGAGCAGGCAGGGCAGGCACCCCTTCCCCGCCCCCACCCCACCCCCACAGGGGCGGAGCAGCTCCGGAGGAGGGGCTGGGCAGGCCCTGAGCAGCTCTCCCGCTCTCCTGGCCCAGGTACAGCCTGACGCTGTGGCAGGGGGCTTCAGACCCCTTGTCAGTGGACGACCTCCTCTACGTCTGGGACAACTGTGCCGCCCACCAAGTCTACTATGACCTCTTCGAGCCTGTGCTGTCGCAGTTCAAGCAGCTGGCCTGTAGGGAGTGGGCCTGGGAAGGGTAGGGGTGGTGTGGGCCGTCCTCTGCACAAGGCAGCCTCAGCGGGCACTGGGGAAAATCCCGGGTGGGACAAGGGGATCGAATCCCCCTAGCAGAGCTGTGTGCCAGACCCTGGCATGGCCTACTGTCTACGCTTACCCCTGACATGAAGCAGGGGCTCCCGTTCGTAGACAGGGACAGGGGAGGCACTGCTACAGTCACAGCTCAGACAGAACCCGGCCAATTCCGAAGGCCACACGCTGCTCCTCGTAGCTCGGCTCCCCTGTGTGTCACCAAGGCACTTCAGAGCACAGCCCTTTTCTGTCCCTCTCAGTCAATGACCCGGATGCTACTGCCCAAAGCCCCTAGAGGGCCTGCAGTGAAGCCACCTCCAGGGGACCCATCAGACTGAGGGGATCACCTGTGGGAGGGGAAGGATGCCAGCTCCGGGGCCAGATACCTGTGGGCCTGTCCAGATCCAGTCGCAGCAACGTTCCTGGGTATAGGACCCGGGGAAAATCATCTCTCCCAGCCCACCATGCAGGGCAATGGCAGCTGTCTGGCAGGACGTGGCAAGCCTTAGCCAGCACGGCTAGCGCCGCGGCATACAGAAGGTACTCTGTGAATGGCAGCCACTTCATCTTGGCATTTTGGGGCCCACAGTGAATGATACACGGAAGCGAATGTACTACTCGGGAGGCAGCCTGATCCCTGTCCTCCAGTCGGCCGGGGGCGACGGCCTGGGCGTGGAGTGGCTCCTTCCAGACATCCAGGGCCACGGAAGATCGGCAACAGTCACCCTCCCAGGTAAGGCCTGCTGCCAGGCTGGTGGGATGCCTGGGGCTGTTACCATGGCAACAGGGATCCGTTGAAGATGCATACTGGATGCTAGGTGCATGGGGGGGTGGAAGGAGGGAGCAGTGTCAAGAGCACAGGGTCCTGGCCATGAGGCCTGCGGCCCCCTTGAGTCTGCAGCTGCATCGCACTGTGGGAGAGGCAGTCACAGGCTGCAGGCCCATTTACTCCAGAGCTAGCCGTTTACCACGTCAGTCTGACAAGCACCAAGCACATCACCAGGAGCCCAGTACCAGGCCAACAGAGCCCAAAGAGGCAGGGCACCGGCTCCTCCTCTTTGGCTGCCCCCAAAGCCCCCCAAGGGGACTCTGATCCCCACTGGAATCTGAAGTGGAGATGCTGTCGCCTCTTCCAGACAGAGAAGGCATGATCCTGCTGAACGTCGGCCTCCAGGAAACTGCAGCCGGCGACCCCGTGCCCATCGTCCATGCCCCGGGCGGCCCTGCCCTCACGCTGGAGTCGTGCCTGCTGCAGCTGGCCACACGCCCCGGGCGCTGGGGAGTCCACGTGCACATCACGGAGCCCACAGCCCTCCGGCCATCCCTGGCCATCCTGGCACACCTCTCTTCCCTTGGCCACCTGCGTCGGCCTGTGTGGTTTGGGGCCACGATCTCCCACGGCAGCTTTGTGGTCCCTGGCCACGTGGCTGGCACAGAGTTGCTTGCCGCCGTGGCTGAGGTTTTTCCCCACGTGACTGTGGCTCCGGGCTGGCCTGAGGAGGTACTGGGCAGTGGCTACGGGGAGCAGCTGCTCACAGATATGTTGGAGCTGTGCCAGGGGCTCTGGCAACCTGTGTCCTTCCAGGTGCAGGCCGGGCCCCTGGGCCAGAGTGCGGCTGGAGCCGTGGCCAGGCTGCTGGCGGCCTCCCCCAGGGCCACTGTCACGGTGTACCAGAGTGCTGCCGGGGGCAACGACGCAGCCGTGCGGGCAGGACTGCTGGCAGCCAGGGCCGAGGACAGGACCCGCATCTACTATAGGCGGTTCTAGGAGCACCGCCCGGACTCGCTGGCGGCTGCTGGCACAAACTCATCACCCAGGGTGCTGGGCCTGCGGGCCCCTGAGGCAAGAGACAGGGAGCAATAAATGTCACTGCCTTCCTCCACACGCTGTCTGTGAGTCCTCGCGGCCGGGCCTAGAGGGTCTGGAGGCTGGGGGCCAGGTCACTGCGGTTGTCCACCAGGAACTGCTCACAGGCCTTAAAGGTGGCGGAGAACTCGGATGAGAGGCCCGTCACGTTGGTGGTCACATAGTTGAGAAAGCCGGGGGTGGCCTGGTTGTAGTAGGACACCTGTGGGGAAGAGGCCACCTCAGGGCGGCTGAGCAGGTGCCCGGGGCGCCAGGGGGCCTGTGGCCTCAGCCACAGGAGTCGGCCCCGCTGGCCTTCCTGGGAGGGCAGCAAGCACAGCCCCACTCACTGGGGTCTTGGAGGTCAGCTAGGGAGCCAGGTTCCTGGCAGGGATGCCCTCCTCCAGCAAGGTTCCCTGGCCACCCTGGGAGCTCTCCACCACGCAGACGGCACCACCATCGGCGTTGTCCCCACCAGCCACAGGGCCCTGGAGGGCAGTGACTGAGTCACCAGAACCCAGTACCAAATCCTGTTTAAATGGAGGTGGCTGGGACCAGCCCTGTGGCACAGCAGATAAAGCTGGCGCCTACAGTGCCAGCATCCAATATAGGCTCAAGTTCAAGTCCTGGCTGCTCCACTTCTGACCCAGCTCCCTGCTAATGGCCTGGGAAAGCAGAAGATGGCCCAAGTCCTTGGGCCCCTGCACCTACATGGGCGACCCAGAAGAAGTTTCTGGCTCCTGGCTTCAGATCGGCCCAGCTCTGGTCATTGTGGCCATTTGGGGAGTGAACCAGTGGATGGAAGACCTTTCTGTCTGTCTCTGCCCTGACTCTCTGTAACTCTGTCTTTCAAATAAATGAATAAATCTTAAAAAAAAAAATTGGAGGTTCCTGAGGGCCCAAGAGACACGCAAGACACGCACCCAGATATGGTCCTGAGAAGTGCGTAGGGCCATACACATGAACTCAGCAAACACGCTGTGCTCCACTGCGTCGATGCAGGGGGCGCCAAGGAGGGGCGGCCGCACTCCCCCCCTGCCCCTTGCTGCCTCACCGCCACCTCCCCGCGGCTTCCAGCAGCACTGGCAGCCCTGCTGCACTTCAGAGCCGCACCCGGCCTTCCGGGCAGGCGGGCTGCACCCGTGAGTCACGAGCAGGGTTGCAGCTCAGGACCCGGGCCTCCTGTCCACCCTGGGACTTCCGTCCACACAGACCAGATCCTAGTGAGCCTCGTTTGCAGCCCCTGACCCTCTTCCACTCCCCCAAGCTCAAGCTGGAAGGGGGAACCTGCTGGAAAGGGCTGTGGGCGAGCTGGATACACACATGCATGGTGCTGGGGGGAGGGACCCCAGGCCTCACCTTGGTCAACTGGTCCCCCTCACGCCAGAGGCAGAATCCTGAGCAGAGCGTCTCCCCGCGCCGGTACTCCGGGGTCTCGGGGTGCGTGGGCAGCGTGACCGACCTCAGGGCAATGATGTAGGGGTCCCTGGAACACAGGGGGGGCAGGGCCAGTCACAGAAGGAGGCGAGGACCTGCTCTGCCCAACCAAGGCCCAGGCCCTGGGGGACCTGGCACTGAATCCTTCATGGAAACCCGACCGCCAGCTCAGGCCGGGCTGGAGAAAGGCACCGTGGGTCCACTCGGCTGGATTCGCCGGGAGCCAGTACGACCCCACTGTGGATGATCTGGCAAAGCCCCGCCTCTGTGGCCGCTCCGGGCAGGAGTCACGTGCATTCAAGTCTATCCTCTGTCTTGCATGTCCTGGCACACCCACACGGTGCAGCTGGCAGGCCCACTGCCCACCAGTCTCACGGGGCTTTCAGAGGACAGTGGCCAGGAAGCATCGTGTCCGTGACCGCCCCCGGCAGGCCCTGCTTTAGGGCACAAAGGCTCCAAGGGAAGTGTGTGCCCTTGTCTCCTATTCTGCCCACACTAAAACCACAACAGCCCAGGAAAGTCCAGTGGGGCCCGGGGACCCACAGCTACGGAAGGAGAGCTCGACCCTGGGCAGATGCCCTCCCTTGGGAGGGGAAGGGAGCTGAGATCTCCTGCCACCGCCTCCCATGCACCCTTGCCCCTTGCAAGCAGGCACTCACCCATTGTCGCATGGTTTGCGGCGTGAGGCCAAGATCACGAAGTCCTGGGGCTTGGGGTTGCCACCAAGAGGGGGGCTGATGACGTGGCAGATGGCATCGTCCTCATCCACCTGCTGCACGACCTCCACGCTCCTGCAGGGAGGCCAGAACTCAGGGCCCGAGCAGGTCTGCGCAGCCTCCCTAGCAGCTGCTGTGCTGGGCACTGGCCTGTACTAGAGGTGGCCAGCCCAGCCAGGCCAGGCACATGTGCACCTACAGACAAAGACACGCACACGTGGGCAGGGATACACAATACACACGCATGTGCACACAGACACATACAAGCAAACAAACACAGACATGGGAACAAAGACATCCACAGACACAACCACATGTGTGTGTGTCAACCTGTCTGCAGGTGCACACACGCCCCACAGAGACACAAGACTGTTCAGTAGTTGTACCTGATGTTCAGTGAGCACCCACTGTGCACCAGTGTTACCTCACTTCAGCCCCACAAAGCCACGGGGCAGGTACTCTGCATGGCCCCATGTGATAGATGAGGGGGCTCAGGCTCTGCCCACGCCATGGAGCTATCAAGGTGGCAAGGCTGGGACGTGCTCAGGTTGGTGGCAGCATCATGCTCCCAGGCCCGGCACACATATGCCCAGGTACATACGTGTAGTCTCGCACCAATGCACACAAGGCACATCTGCACAGACTTCCAACCACGCCCACATCTCTACCTGCGTCCCACTTGCCCTGCACTCAGAGGCTGCCCTGGGAGTGGGGTAGCTGTGGGGAGGGTGGGGAGAAGCAAGCTGGGGGCTCTCTTTTCCCTCAACCCACTACCCACAGAAAACCATCAAGTATCAAGATCTGAGGCAGCCTTCAAGGCCCACATCAGCCCACCTCCTCCAAGAAGCCTTCCTACCACAACTAAAACCCCTCTCCCCACCCAACATCCACCACCAAATCATCCCTCTGGCTTCTAGAATACACCATCAGGAAGCTTGGGGTCACCTAGACCAGGTCTTTAAAAAAAAATGCTTGGAGGAGGGGCTGTGGCATAATGGGTAAAGCTGCCACCTGCAGTGCCAACATTCCAGTCCCAGCTGCTCCACTTCTGGTCCGGCTCCCTGCTAATGCACCCGGAAAAGCAGAGGAGGATGGCCCAAGTGTTTGGGTCCCTGCACCTGCAGGGAGACCTGGGAGAAGCTCCTGGCTCCTGGCTTTGGCCTGCCCCAATCCTGTCCATTGCAGCTATTTGGGGAGTGAACCAACAGATGGAAGATCTCTCCCTCTTTTTCTCTCTCTTCCTCTCTTTCTCTCTATCTCTCTTTCTCTCTTTATCTCTCTCTCTCGCTCTAACTCTGCCTTTTAAATAAATAAATCATTTTTTTAAATGTTAAAATGAAATGCTTGAGGGATTTTTTTTAAAGTATTTACTTATTTGAAAGGCAGAACTGTAGAGGGAGGAACAGATGGAGATCCTTCATCTGCTGGTTCACTTCTCAAATAACCAAAATGGCCAGGGCTGGACCAGGCTGAATCCAGGAACCAGGAACTCCATCCAGGTCTCCCACATGGGTGCAGGGGCCTAAAGAGTTGGGCCTTCTTCCATTGCTTTCTCAGGCACATCAGCAGGGAGCTGGATGGGAGGCAGAAGTGCCGGGACTTGAACCAATGCTCGGATGTGCCTTGACATGGCCCCTGCGCCAGCCCTTTCTGCAAAGAAAGCACGTGTGTACACAGCTGGGATGGGTCTGCTCTGATGAGGTGAGACAGGGCAGGAAGGTGGCCGACTGGCCAGCAAGGAGCCGCCATGGGGTTTCCTAGGACACGGGCCCTCCTTTGGGAGACACTTGGGAAGGCAGCTCCTCGTGCTCCGCCACTGGAGAAGCAAGCAAGCAACCTGCAGAGGCCAGCGCCGGAGTAACAGGAAACCCAGGGTAAACTCTAACCCTCCCATATTAAACACCGACGTTTTGGCAGTTTTTCTAAGAAAAGAGTTATTGGGGTCAGCATTGTGGCACGGCGGGTTAAGCCACAGCCTGCGATGCTGGCATCCCATATGCATGCCGATTCAAGTTCTGGCTGCTCCACTTCCGATCCAGCTCTCTGCTAATGAGCCTGGGACAGCAGTGGAAGATGGCCCAAGGACCCTGCCACCCATGTGGGAGACCTCCAGATGGGGTTCTAGGCTCCTGGCCTTAACCTGGCCATTGTGGCCACCTGGGAAGTGAATCAATGGATGGAAGATCTCTTTCTCTCTCTCTCCACCCCACCCCCTTCTCTACCTCTGTCATTCTTTCAAAAAAATCCTTAAAAAAAAAAAAAGAAGAAACTTACTAAATTCAAGAAGATATTCATATGAAGAATTGGGGGAACAAAGGTATTCAAAGGAATAATTCATAGTCATTTGCTATATTCAAAAATAACATATTCACATGCAAATTCATAAGAGGAATCAGCAAACTTGGTTAATTCGGCAATTCCCTTCCATTAGCTGGCCTGAACCTGGAAGGGACTCCCACCCCTTCTCCCCTTCTGTAACACTGACTCTCAAATAAATGAGTTTTTTAAATTGGAAAGAAAAGAAAAATCACGCATCTATCCCTGCGTGCAAATCCATGCCCCAGCCCCCACACGCCTGTTTAAAGAGGAGGAAAGCCAAGGGCGAGGAAAAAAAGGTGCAAACACAGGCCCCCAACTCCAGTTCCACTAGGCCCAAGACCCTGACCCCCCACCTGACACGTGACCTCAGCCCACCCCCACTGCCACCGCACCTGCGCCCCCACTGAAGGCTGGGGCTCAGCAGAAGGGGGCGCTCACCAGTAGTGCCTGTCCCACTCGGGCCTCCGGCGCAGGTCCGAGAGCAGCAGGAAGGCCTGGGCTGCGTCCACGTGCACCGTCATCTCCATGTGGAAGGAGAGGAATTTGTCGTCCTCCAGGGTGTAGA